GGAGAATTGCAATAAAGAGAGTAATTCACACAGAGCCAGCTGTACAGGAGACTGGAGTTTTATTATTACTCAAATCAGTCTCCCTGAGCACTGGGGGATCAGAGTTTTTAAGGATAATTTGGGTTGGTAGAGGGGCCGGTGACGAGTGCTGACTGGCCAGGTCAGAGATGAAATCATAGGGGTTTGAGGCTGTCCTCTTTCAATGAGTCAGTTCCTGGGTGGGAGCCACAAGATCAAATTAGCCAGTTTATTGATCGGGGTGGTGTCAACTGATCCATCAAGTGCAGGGGCTGCAAAATATATCAAGCACTGATGTTAGGCTTTACAATAGTGATGTTATCCCCAGGAGCAATTTGGGGAGAGTCAGAATCTTGTAGCCTCCAGCTGCATGACTCCTAAACCATAATTTTCTAATCTTTTGGCTAATTTGTTAGTCCTACAAAGGCAGTCTAGTCCCCAGGCAAGAAGGGGATTAATTTTGGGAAAGGGCTCTTATCATCTTTGTTTTAAACTATAAACTAAGTTTCTCCCAAAGTTACTCCAGACTACGCCCAGGAATGAACAAGGACAACTTGGGGGTTAGAAACAAGATAGAAAAAAAAAAAAAAGAAAGAAACAAGATAGAGTTGGTTAGGTCAGATCTCTTTCACGGTCTCAGTTACAATTTTGCAACGGCCGTTTCAAAAATCATACAATTATGCAAACTGATGCCACTGCAAATTTATGTTTTCTAATCCCATCTAAACCCTCAGTACCATTTGTCAATTATTTTATTTTTCCTTAGATCCATCTCCTATTTATTTTTTAATAGTTCTACTGTGATATAGTTTACATGCCATAAAGTTCACCATATAAAGTGTACAATTTAATGTTTTTTAGTATAGTATTTATAGAGTTGTGCAATCATTATCATAATGTAATTTCAGAATGTTCTCACCATCCCAAAAAGAAACTTTGTACCCTAGTCCAAGCCACAGATGTCTTTTGTTTGGACTGTTACAGCAGCCTCCTATATGGTTTCCATTTCCACCCTTTCCCCCTACAGTCTGTTCTTAACACAGAAACCAAAATTATCTGTTTAAAAACCTACTTACTGAAAGGCCAGGCACAGTGGCTCACGCCACTGTGAGCCTCCCAGCACATTGGGAGGCTGAGGCGGGCGGATCACCTGAGGTCAGGAGTTCGAGACCAGCCTGGCCAACATGGCAAAACCCCATCTCTACTAAAATACAAAAATTAGCCGGGCATGGTAGCACATACCTGTAATCCCAGCTACTTAGGAAGGCTAAAGCGAGAGAATCGCTTGAACCCAGGGAGCGGAGGTTGCAGTCAGCGGAGATCGTGCCACTGC